GGCCGCCCGTGACCAGGCTGACATGTGTCCTTCCCCCAGGTCAGACAGGAGCGGCATCTCTGAAGACAGCGGGGCAGGTGAGGCGCGGCGGGGCTGCTGGCTGCTGTGGGCAGTAGACCAGCTGACCGGCTGAGGGCACGAGTCCACAGTACTGGTGGCCTCCTCTATAAACGCCAAGGCAGACTCTTTCCCTGTGTGTGTGGCGGGGTGTCCGTGGGTGTCTGTTATCATAGCTGCTGCCCAAGGAGCTCACCAGTGACACGGAGTGGGGCCGGTTAGGAGCCCCGGGCTCAGAGCCCTCAGTGGCTGGGTCTATAAAGTGGGCCTGACAGGTCTCTGGACACCTGCTCGGCCCTCCGTCCCTGGTGTGGGGACAGCCAGCCTTCGACGTAAGCACGTTTCGAAGAGACTCGACTTGTAGGCTGCAAGGCCCCCTCGCCACCCCCCTTGGTCACAGCACGCGTCTTCTCCCTCCCCACAGGCACCTCCGGGGAGCTGGGCGGGCTGCGCCCCATCAAAATCGAGCCAGAGGATCTGGACATCATTCAGGTCACCATCCCAGGTGAGGCCGAGTCTGCAGGCAGCCCCTCCAAGCCTGTCCCGCCCACCTGGGGCCAGCCCCGCCACTGGTCCTCAGGCTGCGGTGTCTGCCGGGTGGTCCTGACAGGGCCGGGGGGGTCTTGAGTGTCTCCCTCGGGGTTGGGACGCTGCCCGCCCCCGCTCCAGCCTTCCCAACACTGGCTGTGCTCACCCCCAGCACCCTGGTCTTCACCTCGCTGGCGTCTGGGCAGAGGGGCAGGAGCCGGGGAGGGCATGGAGTAAGAGGACCTGGGCTTGACTCTAGGCCTCCCGGGCCTCAGTTTCCCCTTCTGTAAAGGATGGGTGCACTTGGCCTCTAGGGGTGACATGGGGCTCGGGGCCCCTGGGGCTGGCTCATGCACAACCTTCAGCACGGCCAGCTCACAGGTGAGGGAGGTCTCAGGCATCCTGGAGCCTGGCTTCCTTGAAGGGAAGGGGTCCCAGGAGGTGGGCTTGCTGGGCAGGGTGGTCCCTTAGGGCCCGGGAGCAGGAGGGGATGAGCTTGTCATTCGGTGTTTTGCCTGCAGACCCTTCACCAACCTCAGAGGAAATGGCCGACTCGATGCCCGGGCACCTGCCCTCGGAGGATTCAGGTTACGGGATGGAGATGCTGGCTGGTAAGAGCAGGGGGCTAGTGGTGGCTGGGCGGCCCCCCACCCCGGGGAGCAGCAACAGCAGGGGGAGGGGCTCTTCCTGCCTCCCCTGTCCCTGTTAGAGGAACCCCAACACAAGTCAGGTTCCCCTGCCCCACTGCGTTCCTCTCCAAAATGTTGAAAACTGCTGGATGCTGACTCATAGTGACTCTCTAAGACAGGGTGCAACTGTTCCTGTGGATTTCTGAGACTGTAACCCTTTGGGGGGTGGGGGGAGTAGAAAGCCTCATCTTTCTCCCGAGGAGCAGCTGGTGGGGGTGGTCAGCCAACCTGGGGCCCAGCCCAGGCTGATGGCCCTGACAGACTCCCTGGTATACCCAGCCTGTCCCTTCTGCCCACGTGATGTCCCCACTAAACCTCCCCCTGCCTTCTGGAGATGGCAGAATGGCTTCTTCATCTGAGGGCACCCCCGTAGCGGACCTGGGAGTCAAGGGTTTGGGAAGGAGCTATGCACTGAGCTGCCATCCACCTGATGGGTGGTTCAAGTGCAGCAGCCACTGGCGGGAGAAAGATGAGGCTGCCCGCCCCGTGAAGCTTTAGAGTCTCAGAAAACCCCAGGGGCAGTTCAACCCTGCTTTGAGTCAGAACGGACTCGGTTAGTGACCAGGAAAACCAGGAGGACACTAGAATGAGAATGGAGGCTGGTTAAGCCAGCTCCCACCATGGGCAGGAGAGCCCTGGGGCACAGGGCTTCAGCACTCCGCTGCCTAGGGAAAGGTGGGTGGTTCGAGCCCACCAGCTGCTCCGTAGGAGAAAGCACCTAGCAGTCTTCTCGCTCCGAGATCACAGCCCAGTGGGGCTGGAGGGTCCAGTCTTCGGCCCTGCAGCCTCGTTCTGAGGGTGGTCCTGACACAAACACCCCCCCCCCACCCCCCCCCCCCACCGTGGGCAGCTGAGCCAAGCCCATCAAGAAGCCCTCAGGGCTGGCGGGCACCTCACCCCCTCCGAGTTCCTTAGCTGGGTGGCAGGGGAACTGGTCGACTTGACGCCAGGGGTTGCAAGGGGCTTCCAGGGCCTTGGCCTCAGCCCTGGACAGCTTGTCACTCTGTACCTGCAGCCTGAGGGAACCCTCCAGGCCCGGGGAAGCTGGCTGCAGCATCTGCAGCTAACCACATGCCCGGTCTCCTGGGGAGAGCTGGGGAAAGCCCGGGGCTGGCCGTCCACCAGGCCAGGCTGGTGGCTGAGGGCAGGAGAAGGGGCCGGGAGAACCCAGCTCCCTGGAGTCTCCCAGCGTCAGCCCTTCCTCCAGCTCCCCATCCCACCTGGGTTCTCTGGCCATGAACTCAGGCCGGGCACCCAAGGGACCTGAACCTGACTCCGCCGCCCACCCCCCCACTCCCCAGCGCTGTGTCAGCGTGTGGTCTACAGGAAGGAGCCCGGTGATACTGGGCCCCAGGGGAGTGCCCTACACCACGGGCTTCTCCCTCTGAGAGCCTTCCAGTGCTTCTGCCAGGCTGGTGGCTGAGGGCAGGAGAAGGGGCC